TGTTGCGAAGGAGGAGAAGCTGGCGCTTCCTTGTCCACAATGTCTGCGACAGGCCCCCTGATCCGTGGATCGTTCGGAGAAGTCGTTTTCGTCCCACGGCAGTACTTGAATGGTCGACACCATCCCAGCCGAGGAAAATGGGTGTGAGAGAGGTAATCCAAGATCGCCTGGAATATTTTGGCCGCAGAAGGCTGCTTTCCAGCCCGGCGGGATCCGATTCGTGAGAGCGTCTACTCGTCGGTAACGGAAGTATATCCCAGACGATCTCAGAATACTCTTCACTCTCATCCGACTCTGACATGGACGTCCCAGAGAAGGATACATACGGTGATGGCAGAGTGGATCCGGCCGAAGGAGGCCTCGCCGGTTCCTTTCGCGCGCCTTGAGCTTTCAACCCACCCTTTGCTCGATCAAGTGGTCCCTCATGTCGCCGGTCGAGAGACGGGTCGAAGCAGGTCGGACCTGAGATTGGGACAGAGTCTGGTCTGGACGATCCTTGGGCTTGTCTACCCGTTGCTGCGTGGCAGGAAGGAAAAGCCAGGGGCAGGCCGTCCAGCCGAGAGCCGAATTCGCAAAGCTTTGTCGCAGCGAAGAGTTGTGGGTGTTTGGCCTGCTTGCTAGTAAAATGGACAGGAAGCGCCAGTTGTATGAGGCTGCCGTGGTGTCTGAGAGGTCGGATTTCAGGCGTCCAAGCATTCGGTACCTGCCGTCCCACACCAAGCGTGCCAAAACAGAAGGCATCTGTGGTGACGACAGAGATTCGCTGCACACCGGACAGCCTACCTTATGCACGTCAATTCCCGTGTCGTGTGAAGCATGGAATACCCAGGAACGCCAGGGCATGCTATGGGACGCCAACCTTGCCTGTGCAGAGGGCAAAGGGAGCTTTGGGAGGCTTTCCCCCCTCGGTGCAGCACCTCCTCCAGCTGTCTCAAGAATCACACTTACCTCCTCACGCACGACGCAGCCATGAGCTGGGGACCAGAAACCGTCCCCTTTTAGAAACAGAAGGCGATCCGTCCGACTCGTCGAAAATGGCGGGCGTCTTTGACTACACCAGGACCTAGAGGTACCTTACGACGGTCCCTCGCCATTTTCGTCCGCGCACTTATCCTACAAATCTCGTTTCTCGCGCACGTTCGCTTGGGCCACTCGTGCACGAAAATCACTTTGACGTAAAAGCAGAGACCTCTGCAGTGCTGCGCGCGTGCCTCTCACGCCTCTCCAGATAACGACTGACCGAACGGGTCGATGCGTCGACGCCACTGCGCTCATTGTGTTAGTACCTCGTAAACAGCCCGTTCGTCGCGCGTGGTTCGCCTTATCTCCGTCGGTTATCTTGACCACTTATGTACATCGTGATCTGGGGCTTGCCTATTCTGATCTTTCCTGGCCTATGGCCGGGGAGTATTATATCTTATCTTGGAGAAGCAACCCTCGTCATAGGCTTGACAAACGATCACCCCGGCTAAGGGTTTTTAGGCTTATCAGTCGACATGCACGGGCTAGTGACGCCCGGCGAGGCTTGTCGATTTGCGGGGATTGCAGATGTCAGCGATCAGCGGTCACCGGGAGCAAAAGAAAATAATGGGACAAAAGCAAAAAACCACGTTTGGATAAAGACCCTGCCAATGCGTCCCGCGATGACTCGCTCTTCTTCTCCATCTCGTCGGTAAGGTATCTACTCGAGACCATCAATCCCCGTTACGAGCACCAGCCATGGCGTCCTCCGACGACCAAACTTCCCACGATGAGAAGCACGTCGACGAGAAAACCGTCTCCTCCGCGGTCGAGCAGCCTGCCGAAGTGGGTCACGGGTCCGTCCTCAAGAGGCGCTTCCCCCACTTCAGCCTCGCGGTCCGTCAAGAGGAGAGCAGCTTTGCCAAAACAAAGGCGGCTTCCAACGCCGATTTCGACCCGATCCCGCCGTCGAAGCGGACATGGAACTGGGGCGCCTACATCGCGTACTGGATGGCCGACGCGTGGGCCGTCTCGAACTGGGAAGTCGGTGAGTCGCCCTCGTGGCGCGGTGTCTCTGGAGGCGGCGGTTCTGAGTCTCGTGTGTCACAGCTTCTTCCATGATCGCCGTCGGCCTGAGCTGGAAAATGGCAATCGGCGCCTGTGTCCTGGGCAACACCATCATGGGTCTCGTCATCACCGTCAATGGCAGGATGGGTGCCACCGTAAGTTTCCACGCCTGCCAAAATGGCCGAGCGAAGCTGACACGGAACACAGCTTCACACTCCGTTCCCCGTCCTCGCACGCATGCCCTTTGGTTACTACTTCAGCTACTTCGTCGTCCTGTCCCGCTGCGTCCTCGCCATCGTCTGGCTCGGGTGAGCCACTCTGACCGGCCGGTCATGAATGCCGCAGGCTGACCGTCAATAGTGTCCAAACCACCACCGGCGGCCAATGCATGGAAGTCTTACTGACCGCCATCTGGCCTAGCTTTGCCAGAATCCCCAACCACATACCCGAGGACGAGGGCATCACCACGGCTGGAATGGTAGCGTTCCTCCTTTATTTCCTCCTTCAGATCCCCTTCCTGTGCATCCCCTACACCAAGGTCCAGTACTTCTTCGCCCTCAAGAGTTTTATCGCCCCGATCATTTTCTTGGCCGTTTTTGGCGACACCCTGCACAAGGCGGGCGGTACCATCAGCAACAGCACCGTCATCTCCCAAGGCACCACCATCCACGGCTCGCTCCTCGCGTGGGCCTTTTTCTCCAGTGAGTGCTCTTTGCCCTAGACGCGTGTCGTTCTCCGCATCCCGCTGACCAGCATCATTCTCGTAGACCTCAACGGGGTCTTGGGCAACTACGCCACGTTGGGGCTCAACATCGCCGACTTTTCGCGTTACGCCAACAAGCCCAGCGCGCAAAACGTCCAAGCACTCGTCATCCCGGTCATATTCAGTGAGTCACCCCGCCGCAAGGTGCCCACGTCGATCGTACTGACCACCCGACTCTATAGCCATCGTCGGTCTGCTGGGGATCTTCACGGCCGCGGCGGCCCAGACGGCGTACGGCCACGTCATCTGGAACCCGATTGAAATCCTCGGCCTGTGGATGAAATCTGGATCTCACGGTGGCCGGGCCGCCGCCGCCTTTGGCGCCATCGGCTTGATCATCGTCACCCTGGGTATCAACATCTCGGCCAATTCCATCAGCGCCGCCAACGACCTCATGTCTTTCTGCCCCAAGTACATCAACATCCGCCGCGGCCAATTGCTTGCGGCCGTCATCGGGAGCTGGGGGTTCGTTCCGGTGAGTCGACTCTGCGCCAGGTGAATCGTCGTCTCGCTGACCACGGATGTAGTGGAAAATTCTCGCGTCGGCCGCCAAGTTCCTCGCTTTCCTCGGCGGTTACACCATTTTCCTGGGGCCCATGACATCTATCCTCATGACCGAGTTCGTCTCCCCCGATTCCACGTGTCCCCGTCTGCCACGTTCATAAACGCTAATTTGCTTATCTCGTGCCACAGCTACTTCATTGTCCGCCGCCTCAACGTGTCGGTCCCCGACATGTATGACTTCCACGGCATTTACCGTTACTCGCCCAAATTCGCCACCAACTGGCGCGCCGTGGCGGCTTTCTTCATCGGCTGCATCCCACCACTGCCCGGCTTCGTCAACAACATCGTCGCGGCCGGCGGTGGCACGACCGGCATTTCCATCGGCGGTCAACACTTGTAAGTTCCCTCCTTCACTTTCCCGTCGCCAAGAGCTCTGCGCAAGCTGGCGTGGAGCGTAACCTGGGTCGGAGCTCAGCTGACAACTCAACTCCGGCAGGTTCGCCATCGGCTACGTGTATTCGTTCATCGCCGCCGGCGTGTTCTATTGGCTCTTCAATCGCTTCTTCCCACACCACGAGTCCATGATGGACCATCCCGAAACCGGCGAGGACATCATCGCGGCCAACGACGCCAAGAATGTCGAGGAGCGTCGCGCCAGTCGGAGTGAGCGGAGGCCGAGCGTGGTCACCAGGTTCTTCGAAGTCTAGGCTGGTGTGTGACTTGACCGAGGTTGTCGTTCCGGAGCGCTGGCCGTGTCTCGTCCACGAAGCGCCGGCACTATTTTGCGCTGTCGAACACATAGACTGTTTAGAGAAGCTCGCTTCAACGCATGGGCATAGAATATCCTTCCCGCTACCCACGCTAGACAGTCTCCGCGCATGTATGACCCGTAGCAAATTCGGCAACTTAGAATCGTCACAATCGATCACATTAGAAATCCTTTAGCTTCCATACAAGCCAGAAGCGATCAATCCTTGATGCTTCACTTTTTGGACAGCAGAGCAGAGATCGGACTTGTTTTTGATCTATGTCTCTTCGAGAAAAAAAAAGTGGACTGTGTTGCGGCCGTCGCAGGTGTTGCACTACAACGAAGGCGGATTTCCCGACCACGACTTTAAAGATCAAATAGGTAAACGCATTCTAGGGATTCTTGCTCCCTTTCCGAAATTGCATTATTCTTCTTCCAAAGCCTTGCTGCCGTCGACTCTGTTGGACATAGCATTGGTCAATGCCTTTCCTGTAACCGTTTACCTGGCCCAATCCTCTTGGCTGCCCTGAGCATTGTCCGAGATCCCTCCAGACATTTCCATGACGAGTCGGCCAGGGTCAGGTACAGATCTGAGGCGCCCCAGGTGAACGCGGACGGCAGCGTTGGGACAAAGGCCCGAGCGCAGGAGCAGCCGAGGCGGCAGCTCTTCGAAACCAGTGAGCTTCAGTAGGAGGGGATGACAACTAACTATCAGCTCATACCTCCCCCCACCCACACTTTTATCACAGCAATAGAAACACTGTTCCTACGTATCATCTAAAAAGAAATGCTCGTAGCGTGATACAGAATACTAGAGAGTGCATCACGGGCCTCGCTTAACCTTCCGAAACGGGACGAGGGCCAAAAATTTTTGCCGGAGCTCGACTAACCCACCCTCTGGTTCAGAAGAAGATAGAGGCGATCAAGATACAGCTCAACAAAAAGAGACAGCTTTGATGGTCACTACGAGGGTCGAACTCGCGACCTTGGCGTTTAGCAGTGCCTTATGCTATTAGCACCACGCTGTGTCGATGTTAGTTGTCAATTTGGTTGAAACTTGGGAATTGGTGAACCGTACCTCTAACCAACTGAGCTAAGCGACCTGGTTGATTTTGAATGGCTTTTGGTTAATTCAAGTTATATAGCAGAATTTTATGTTTGGGGAAGGGCCGTCATGTGACGCCAAGATGTCTCCACCACCCCGATTACTTTGGTCCGTCTACATCTAGCTTCAAGTTCAGCGGCAGCCTCGGCCCACACTCTGAGGTCACAATCATCCGGCCCAGGGACGCTACGATGGCTGCTCAGCTGTCTCGTATCGTTGCTCATACCTCAATTCCACCTACCGGGTTCCCTGTCGAGGTCGGGGACCCGGAATCGCGTTGGTTATCAGTCCCCGATGAGGAACAAGACCGTCGGCCTGGATACACGTAAACGCTTTATGCGAGATACTCTCGACGATGGCATGGTTGTGACTGCAGGTGCGTCATGCGTTCGCATTGTCGGCCTCACCTGGATGAAGCCACATGGCCCCGAGCTTAAAGTCGTTCAGGCCCGCGAGTGCCTCCATCGTACGCTCGAAGGACGTCTCGCGTAAACGTCGAGTTTTGACCTGCGAGACCATGACTCCGGCAGGCCAGCGTGACTTGCCGTAGTCGATGGCGTCTGCGTCGTCGTACCACGGGGCCGATCTGCTCGCGTACTTCTACAAGCTAGCTAGGTCCACTTTAGAGGCGTGGGTGTCCATTATGGCCTTGAGACGGATAACTGGACTATCAACTGGATGCCGACGCCTGGAAACCCGCGACGGGGGACGCAGACCAGACAAAGAAGACGGAGCCCCGGTTGACGATCGTGGTGACGAAGGAGACGATCCTGCTCCCGCGCTCGTCGCGCAACCGATCCGTGCAGTTCTTCCCGGCTAGAACACGCGACACGAAGGCCACGGTGATCATCGGGCCGCGCTACGGTCGGAGTCCGGCCCCGCGCATCGGTGTGTATCTGAGCGCGCGAGATATCGGTGGTTGGGTGGATCGTGGAGAGGGGGAGGATGAAGAGGGCGGCGTCTCTCCACCACAAAAGAGACTGAAGGGTCAGCTCGAAGAGCCTTGGGACGAAAATCGGGATTGCATTCTCATTCCTTTCGACGGGTACTGATGGTGCCACACCATGCAGGACGGGGTGAGCATATGCCGTTGCTTTGATGAGGCTTTGTCGGGTCGTGGAGATGCTGGCCCCGCCGGGGACGACCGAGGAGAGAAGGTGTCGTGATCTGGGAAACGGCTTCCTGACCCACGAGCTATAGTATCCCATTCCAGCCACGAATTTGTTCAGCGTGAGGCTCCCGTGCAAAGTTGGAGAGTGCTCGGGGAGGATTGATCCCCGTCACGAGCCCATGTCGATGATCTCGCCGTGATGAGAAGACTGACGGCTACACAATTCTCCACGGTCAATATTTGACGTCAAATGAGAGTACTGCGTACTCGTGGCTTCAAGTTCGTCGCATGATTCAGTGATTGAAAAAGGAGGTGAGGCGATCCCCAACGAGGAGAATGAAGGTGAGGCTTGGTAGCGTCGGATCTGGACAATCAAACATCCGATACCAACGTCCGTTGCACGATTAGAGGACGTGGTCGGATTGAGAGGATCCCGAGGGACCGTCAGACTATATACTACTGTCGAAAGGGGCAAAATCGTTACGAGACCCCGTACTGGGCCTAACAGGGCTTCCAAGTGTTTATTACACTCGGTCCTGTCTCGATGGAGGCCATTAGAATTCCACGCACGTCCCGGACCCGGCACTGGTGACGAGGCTCTTCACACGCCCTTTGCGACAATCGGCCAAATGAGAGCGGTCGATATACGCGCGTGAATCGATCGATCGATCAGCCAACCAATATACGCTCCAAATCCTTCTCAAGGCCCTCCGCCTGAGACTCCAACTGGGTGCCCTGTGCAATGGCCTTCTGAGCCAGTCGAAACACCTCCTCTGCGGCGCGGCGGACGTGCTTCATATGTGACCAGTTGCTCTCGGAGAGGCCAACGTTGGAGTCGAAGTTCTTTTGCACGTACTCGACACACTCGCCGAGTTGTCTGAGGTCGCAGGCGGCGGAAGGACTGGAGGGGTTGAGGAGGATATTGGAGAAGAGGATCAAGGAGGCGGAGATGGGGTAGAAGAGCACGACCCTAGAATGTATCCAAAGAACGATACTGGCGTCAGTGAATGGTTTCTCTGCTTTCCCCACGGTTGTCACAGAGTAACTGTACCAGAAGAGTTTCGGGAGGAAGGCCGGCCGGCCCATGGAATTGAGGTATGAGAGCAACGACCTGCTCGACTCCAGCGCCAGCTCCATGCTCGAGGTCAGACCTTCGTCTATCGTTCGATTGTGCGTCCAGTTCTTGCAGCGGCTGCTGGCTTGATGGATGGTCGTCATGCAGTGGTGGTACTCGAGCCGCAGCAAGAACGGTGAGATGTTCTTCGGGCTGAAATCTTTTGGACTGCATTTGGTGTCGTCCGAGAACGTGAGCGTCGGTCTGCATTCTGCGGGCAACGACAGTCGCCAGGTTTCCAGCATGTCGTCCAACCCACGGATGTCTCGGAGGATGTCCGCGTCAGAATTGTTGAGCGAGTGTGGCGAGTAGAGCTTTTCGTACGCCTGCGACTTGATGATGCTCAGACGCAGGTCGCCTGGCAGTCTCGAGACCCCGGTAAACCCTGGAGATATTTGTCTCTGGTAATATGCTGGAAACGTCAGATCGCACGATGTGTTTGTCATGATTGGGGGTCGTCCTGTCCGAAAAGTGATCTCCATGTCCAGGGTGTAGCAAATCCAGAACAGGTCTCGTCGATGCAGGGTCGTCCGTGTCTCTAGATCTTGACGTTCTTCGGGGATCTCGTCGATTGCCTTTCCAGGATAGAGGTGAGCGCCGAGCATGAACAGGATTCGTGAGGCTAGGCTCAAGGTAAGATCGGCGGAGTGAATGTTGCCACAACTAAACTGGTAAAAAACCTAAAAGGGTGGCGGGATGGTCAGGCGCCCGTCACAAACGCAAGGCATCGTGACTTGCCAGTATCATCAAAGTGTCGGCCGCTTCAGTGCTGGCTCTGGCGCCGAACAGGTCCGCGGTGAGTTGTTCGGCCACGTCGTCCACTTTGACATCGAGAGCGGGTATCAACCCCTCTTTCTGACCGTCAGTCAAGGCACATACCGCCAGGAAGGCATGTATGTAGGCCTTTATCAGGGATGTTCTGCGAGAGTCGGTGAGGGTAGGGCTGTATGCCTCCTCGATGGTCAGCGCAAACAACACAGGATCCACGAGGGGCAGATGATTAGCAAAGTCCGACGTTTTGTAGAAGGTCAAATATGCTTCGACGATGCTGCGGTCTGGCAATGCCTGTATCCCCGCACGCAATGGGCTCCCTGACGGGACCGGGGTTTGCTGGTTATGCCACAGGGGAACCTGACGCTTCCCTGGGTCACTGTCTTCGTATCTGAAGCCAATCCATCTTTGACCGTCTTGCGACAGTAACGGCACACCGTGGAAAACGTTGATGTCCCCAAGCTGATAATACGACAGGAATATCTGTCCGACGGCGTCGATTGGTGAATCTGACAAGACTGTCGTGCCGGCAGGGGGAGGGTCATGATTTGCAGCTGAAACGAGAGTTCGACGGTCAGCGATCCTGACCAATCAGGTGTCGGCAAATCACGACGTCACGTGCCTTCAGGTCGTTCGAAATTCGCCGTCAGGATCTGCTCGATCCTTTCCATGCGCCGGATGATGTTCTTCTTTCGAAGTTTGCTGTGTGTGATGCAGCTCGTTAGCTCATAGAGGGGACTCCCTCGGCCCCTGGCCCCTGCTAGACTTACATTGAACCAGCTTGCCTCCTCTTTCTGCCCCCCTGGACCCGATTGAAAGTGCAGCTGGCGTTATGGTGTCGACACCAGTCGCACGGAAGGGTCCCACCGTCACATCTGATCTGGTTGTTTTCAGCAACATGTTTCCGGCAGGCAGCCGAGCTGGCTTCAACAACAGACCTTTCGGCGGTAGCATGAATCACATGCATGACGTGTCCGTGGGGTGCTGGTTCCGCTGCTACCGGCCGTCGGCGGATCAGATATCGGAGATTCTGGAGTTTGAGACATGCGCAGGGCAGAGCTTCGTTTGAGGCTCGGGGGATTGGAGGTGAAAGGTTGGACTGACCATCGTCTCGAGCCGAGGCTGCGCGGACTCTGAGGCGGCTGGAAGGTCAAGGTATCTCTCTAATAAACGGCGCCTACTGGAATCTTACTTCCGCTATTGACGACACCAATGGTATCTCGGATGGCACAAATGGCCGCCCGTCAGACTTTCGGATCGTCGGCCGTCAAGCTTGTCCCGCCAGATGCTTCTGCACCGGCGGCACCGCAAATCTGAAAGTGCCGCTGATTAAGCAGGCTTGACCAATGAAATCAGTGCTTTACTTCCGCTTACTTAAGCGGAGTTTGGTGGCATTGAGGTACCCGAGCCGATATTTCTGCGAGTGGATCGATTCTCTTTCATGTCGACCAATATCGACAGTGGTCCCGGTACCGTGAGGATGGACGGAGGAGAGAAAGAATACCTTTTGGTGGGACTCCGTTCGGTCCCTCCGGTTTACGAAGGGAACTTGGACGCCCGTGGCAAGGGCAAGTCGGGCCCAAAGCATCCGAGTGTATCATATACAAACAACGCGTAGGTGTCTGGTTTCGTTACTGATTATTTCCTTTCTTCCCTTCGCTCCTGCGACTTGTCGTTTCCGCAATTGTCACGTCTCATCTACCGGTCTGCGCAAGATGCAGCGGTCAAAGTCCAACGCCTCGAGGCGGTCTGCGTCGGGGGCACCTGCACAGCATGGAGCCTCACTCTGGCAACCGCTTACCCGCCAGTCGACTTTTTCCACACACGATGCCGACAGAGAAGCACGCGATATCGACGACAGCGACGCCGAGAATGACCCATATGATCCCACGTGGGCCTTGGCGGACGAGGTTACGAGAAGAAATGATTTGGACAAAGCCAGCGGTCTGAGACAGCGGAAACTCGGTCTCACCTGGAAAAATCTCACCGTGTACGGCGAGGG